TTGAATACAATATATTTGGAGCAACTTAATTTATAAATGGTTGTCAACTTAAAAACGTGTGTTCACAATGAGGGTAATTAAGTACATACAACTTAAAATTCCTTTTAAATCATACGGTAAAACAAGTTGGAACAACTTAATTTTTGGAGTAATCAACTTAAAAACTTGTATCCCGAATGAGGGTAATTAAGTACATACAACTTAAAATTCCTTTTAAATAATGTGGTAATACTAGTCGGAACAACTTAATCTTTTTAGTAATCAACTTCAAAACTTGTGTTTATGCTACCAATTATTAAGTAGGTGGTAATTAAAAACACCTCTGATTGTAGAGGAAAAGCCTTCTCCCCTAACTCAAATAACTTTGTTGTCTTAACTCAATAAACATCGATGCAAGCTGTTGCGTTGATTTTCTTTGTTGAGCCAAGGCATTTGTTTTTAGAGTGTACATTGGCTTTGTCCAATGCCTAGAACATCTTATGTTTACATTTAGCTGAAGAGCCCCTGGTAGCTGAGTAAAATATGAGTGGTATAGCTCAGAAGCAAAGATAAAACTAGCGTTAACTAGAATTATGTTACGTTTTCCTAAACCTAACCCAAGTGTGACCATAGTCAGCAGTAGAAAAAACTCATAATCTTGTCTGTCTAGCAACGGCAAGGGTTTTGTAAGACCCTGACAAAACATGTCATCTTGCCAATAGGGACAAGACACTCGCATGGGTCATTTCGGAGGCTATGAAAAATGACCTAGTTGAGCAAAAAGTCTGGAGGACTTGTTGGAAGACGCTATCCATCTGGGAAACTGGCCCACAGGACTGTTTAAGTGGCTTTAATAACCTCCGTTTTTTATCCTTCTCGCAGTCCTCTACCAACTGTTTTGCTTATATTAAATCCCTTTTTTACTTGTCCATAAACTGCCATTATGACAGACAGTTCACATAGTATTTATTTTGGTCGATAACAGAATTCATGATACCGCTTCTCTTCCTGTCGCTTGCCCTGAAATGGTCACATATTGTGTGGTTGTCAAGGGCTCCCAAGAGCCATTATTTTGTCTTGGCCAGGAGCAACAACCAAAGTCTGTATTAAAGATGATATACTGTGGTAGGTTGGATGGACAGACAAATCAGCAACACTTTACAATACTCCACAAAAATCTCTCCATCAGGTTTAGCGCTTCAGCTGTTCAAAACCCAGTGAATATAACACACTGGCCAGCTGCCAGGGAATATGTTTGACCCCCACAAAATAAATACAAACATGATTAGAAAAGCTAAATCAAAATAAACCACTTTGCATATGGTCAGCTTCTATTATTGTCATTTATAGCTACACATTGAAAGGCATGGAAATGCTTTGTAAAGGTGCCACCGCATTACACTGATTAGAGTCATTTTCTTTGTGTTCCTGATAATAAAATAGGAAAAGGTCATATTTCGCCCCCATGGGGCTGGGCGTGGCCTAGAGAAATCACCAGAAATTAGCTGTGA